TCACCCACTCTCTCTAATCATTAAGAAACTTCAGCGATTTCAAGGCTTTTGCAAAGAGAGTAAAAGAATTTTTCGGCGAGGAGACGGTACCAGCTTTTGCCCACTAGGCGGAGCTTGTGGTGGTCGATTCTTAGGATGCAGATTAAACAGGCGACGGCGAGGTCTTCGGGCAGTCCGGGAAGGAGAGGATATTGGTTGCGGGTTCTGTCTTGTTGGGTTGATTGATGATTTGATGTCCGGCTGGAGACAAAGCTTTGAACCGTGGTGTAACACCCTGTTCCGAATCGATTCCTAACCCGAGGTTGCGGCCCCAAGATCGGTCATCATAAGGCTTAGGTCCTTTGAATAGGTTAGATCTAGGCCCATTTGGGTGCAAGTGATGCAATTAAAGTGATCAGGGTGTTCGGTTTATGTTTTGGAGCCTAGGGGTATTTCGGTAAAGTGTTAGTTCGGGCTTTTGTGGAAATTGGATTTTTGTTCGAAAGGTCTTAAGGCTGGTATGATTTGATAAAAGTGTAGGTCTTCTCGTTACCTTTCCGTGGATATAAGGATCGCCGGAAACAGACTTATAACGAAAAAGTTATGGCCTTCGGAAGTTTGGTGGTTTTAAGGTTTAGATGGGTACGTGGGGCGTACACAAAGGGTACGCGGGGCGTACTAGTGAAAAGGGAAGTACGCGGGGTGTACCTTGGTGTACGCTGGGCGTACTGACCAGGATGGTCGTAGATGCTCTTCGGAGTACGCTGGGCGTACCATATGTACATTTGGTGTACTCCAATCAAACCCAAACCCTATTTTAGGGTCTTGGACCCTATTTACGCTCCTTATCTCATAACCTAACCCTAATATCTTCAACCACCATCCCTCTAAACCCTAGAAACCGACCCTTAGCCCCCATTTGAGTGATTCTTGTGCTTCAAAGTGATTTATGTGTGTTTTTGGTGCTTAAGGAGGAAGAAGGAACTCCTTGAAGAGTCATTGCTTGACTTGGAGCTTTTGGATCCAGACTTTGTTTACTTAGACCTAACGTCTGGAGGTATAAAGTCTCAACCTTGACAACTCTTTCTTGTAGATCTAGCTAGGTGGCACTTTGTTATGATTTTGGTCCCTTTGTGGTGGTTCTTGTGAGTAGAAGTTACTCCAGAACCTTTGAGCTTCATATTTGGCCCTTTGGAGTCATAAAGTTTGGATCTTGATGAGTATAAACCTTCCATGCATGATTTGGTAGTCTTTTGGTGAAGCTTGGGACTTAGGGTTTTGATTTGGGTTCCATTAAGTCATGCTAAGTCATAAAGTCAGGAACTTTATGACTTAAGAAGTCCCTTTGAATCAGATCTGGAAGTTTGGAATAAGGTCTTAAGGTATTAAGAAGTTTTAAGACAATTTGAAGTGATTTTGACCCTTGAAGTTCATCCTTGGTGCTGGTGTAACGACCCAATTTTCAAAAGAAAATTTTTCATTTTTAATTATCCAAAACACATTTTCATCATCCACAAAAACGAGTTACAATTGTTTTCAAAACCATTTCAAATACAACTTTATTTCAAAATATCAGAGTGTCCTATAAAATACCCGAGTGAGAGTGCACGCCGCGCCATCAAGCCTTGCCCTTGCCCTTGGGCTCAGATGTACCTGAAACAAATCCACAAACTATAAGCTAATGCTGAGTGAGTTCCCCAAAGCATACCCACACACAAACCACATACAACATATCATACTAGCTATAACAGCTACACATATCACATACGCCATGCATACAACAGACAGGGATGTTGTGGGCTCGTCCCCAAGGTCTTACTCCAAGATGCCATGGGCTCCCCACATGGTCTTACACCTAAGTGTTATGGGCTCTCCCATGGTCTTTGATAGGAAAGCCATGGGCTCTCCACATGGTCTTACATCCAAGTGTCATGGGCTCTCCCATGGTCTTCCATACAAACATACCACTAGCATACTTCCTATCTCATACCAACTAACATGTCACATAACACAATCTCAGCTAGGATACTACATAATATAAAATGGGTCGGCCTTGGTGCCTTAGACCCATTGGTATGGTGAGGAGACTCACCTCTCCCGAATGTTGTGCTGGAAAACTAGAATCAGATATGCCCCACGTACTGCTCCAACTCAACTGCCTATAAACATTAAATGATTGACTTGTCATGATCCCATAATTACTCTCAAAGTCAATCCTGATCAAAGTCAAGGTCAACAGTCAAGGTCAACAGGGATCATGATTACTCTCAAAGTCAACCCTGGTCAAAGTCAAGGTCAACAGTCAAGGTCAACAGTCCCTGTTGACCTCAACTAGTCGAGTGCATCCAGCAACTCGCCGAGTTAGCTGCATAACTCGTTAACTCGCCGAGTTACCTTTGTAACTCGTCGAGTTCCTCCTGAGTCCATTCCACTGAATCCCGTCTCGACTCACCGAGTCATCCTGGTGACTCGTCAAGTTCATCATATGACCAGAAAACTAATATCTAAACGGACCAAAACCCTAATCCTTCACTGCACTTATCCTAGAAACTCAAACACGGGCAAACCCTACTCCGACTCATCGAGTCAGCTAAGGGACTCGACGAGTTCCTTCAGTCCATTCTAAGCTCAGCCCTTTTCAATGGGATCTATGGTCCCAAACTCCAGATCTAAACTCCCTTAGTGCAGATACCACGTAAAGTTGCAAACTTTACGTGCATGCAAGGCCCTCCAAGGCCATAACCTCAAAACTAAGCTTCTTACAATGTTTTTGTGCATGGAAAGGGACTAGGCTGCATAAAGTGAGCAACTTTATGCCATTGGGGACCTTGAGAGGTCCAGAAATGGAACCATATTCTTGTGATAAGTCCAGATCCAAGCTTGACTCCATTTTGCACCAAAAATGGCCATTTACTTCCAGGAAAAGGGATCTAATCAACTAGAGATCAAGGTGACGACTTTATACCTCAAAATGATGGTCAAGATAGAGTAGATGTTGGATCTACTGCTCCTTTCCTTGTTCCTTCCTCTTCAAGCTTTAGAATCCTTCACAAATGCCCCAAAATCACTCACAAAAGCTCTTTCTCTCACTCGAGAAGGTTCAAGATCGATCTAGGGTTTCCTCTGGATATTAGGGTGATAAGGGAGGCCACAAGAGGCACAATAAGTTCTTTAAATAGGGTGCAAACCCTAAAAATTAGGGTTTCCTTTTACAGCTCCCACTCATCGAGTCGGGGCCTTCCGACTCGTCGAGTAGGACCCAAACCCTGCATCCCTTAACAGTCTCTACTCGACGAGTTGGAGCGCCCCAACTCGTCGAGTCCATGCACAAAACCCTAAAATTATAAAAATAAATCAATACTTGAAACAGGTGTTACAGCTGGGCTTCATTAAGCCATGCAAAGGTTTAAAGCCTTCGACTTTATGGGCCAAGTCACTTATATTTTAGCTATTCTGAGGTTTGGACGTCTTGGCTTAAAGGATTAAGACGTTTTCTAGGTTGGTAGTGGGCAGGGTCAGTACGGGGGGCGTACTGGGTTTCTTGGGCGTACGCTTAGCGTACCCACTGAGTACGTGGGGCGTACTCAGTCAGATGAGATTTTGAATTTTGGGCTTTCTTTTGGGCTTGGGTGTTGGGTTATTAATGGGTCATCTGAGTACAAGTGTTTTGGACTAGGAAGAATGGTTGGGCTTTATGGTAAGGCCCATGTAAGGGGTTTGGGCCCAATTTTTATTGGCCTTTGCGCCTTTCAGATTGTGAGCTTGGGCCTTAGTCTTGGACCAAGCTAGGTTAGGGGTAAAATGGTATTTTTACCCCAAGTATGGATTTAAGGTTATGGATTGGAACCCAATTGCTAATTGGGTGTTGTTTTGACTTTGATAGTTTGGGGATCTGTCAGCCAGCAGCTAGGGATTTTCTCTTCGACAGTGCAAGGTAAGTCTTCTCACCATATCCATGGGTCGAAGGCACCAAGGTCGGCCCATTATTTGGTTATGTAGTATGTTAGATGTTGTGTGATACATGTTATGCATGGGTTGAAATATACCCCAGTGCGAGGACCACTATGTTATGTTTGGGTTGAAATATACCTAGGACGGGGCCCACTATGTTATGATTGGGTTGAAATATACCCCAGGGCGAGGCCCACTGTGATATGTTCGGGTTGAAATAGACCCCAGGACGAGGCCCCAGGGCGGGGCCCATACTTGCTTTTTGGGTTGGAATGAACCCCAAGGCTGGGCCTATTTATATGTTTGGTATGTGGTATTTTGGGGAGCTCACTAAGCTTCGTGCTTACGGTTTTCAGTTTATGTTTCAGGTACTTCGGTTTTCAAATGAAGAGCTCGGGATGATTCCAGGACACACACCACATCGTTCCGCACTTTCTTAACTCACTCTGATATGATGTGACAATTGATACATTTGTTTCATTTGTATTTTTATGACGATGTTTTCCGGAATACTGGTTTTATCAATTTAAAAATGAAATTTTCGGGTCTTATTTTTGGGACGTTACACGGGGATGTATCTTTTTGCTCTGACGACTGTTTTCAGGCCGATGTCTACTCTACATAACCTGTTGTATCCACCTGTAAAAACATCATCGTCTCCAATGGGAACAGAAGGGCATGACCGTCAGGAACAAGAAAATGAGATATAAATTTAGGATCTTTACTAAAACAATTAAAGAAAAGCCATGGACACCACTCTTATGCCTTTCCTTGTGTTGGAGAGAGAGAGAGAGAGAGAGAGAGAGAGAGAGAGAGAGAGAGAGAGAGAGAGAGTGAGAGAGAGAGAGAGAGAGAGAGAGATTTAATTTATTTTTTTAATTAACTAAAAGTCACGTATGTTTATTAACCGGCTAAAAAAAGTTAAGAGGACTAAATGAACAGGTCACTAAACCAACACGAAATTTGTTAGTTACTTAAAAGGCACGAAAAAAAAACTTTAAGAGCTGAAAAGATAAAATCCAAATATACAATAGTAACGTTGCGTCATTTTCCTTTTTTTTCTAAGAAACAAAAAAAGTTTTCTGATTTTCTCCTAGAAAACGCACTGTTTTTATGAAAATTTAACAGTTACATAAATACGTAAGTAGTTACAAATTTTTGTGGGCAATTCAGATTTGATTTCTAGAACGGAACAATGGGAAGTGTGGCCTATATCATCATTAACGAACCAGAAAATAAGTAAATCGCTCAACTCACTTCCTACTTCCGAATAATACAATGGCTTTATCTTCATGTTTTTTAGCCATACAATTCATACCTCTTCAGAACCCAGGTAAACTGTCTTCTTCCCACTGCAAATTTTCACACCCACCCACCAAAAATCTACACTTTCATGCTGTTTAATCTAACTCTACCAGATTCTGCTTCAATTTGGCTTGTGGGTTTTCAATCATAGGTGTTCCTATCGCCAATCAAAGCAATCGAAAGCTTCATAGAACAGTCAAGTTTGACTCTTTGAAACCTAAGGTCCATTCTTTTATTGCATTCAATCAAATGTTCTAATCTTCCTTTTATTATCGCAATCTTACTTTCACAATTAGGGCTTTTCGGGTATGGAAACTATGAGTTATTGATATACGAATCGTGTACTATTGGCAAATATGCAGGCTACAGGAGACAAGGAAACGAAGCCAAAAGTAAAGAGTGTCATATGTACGGATTGTGATGGAAATGGTAAGTTTCTTTTAGTCACTTTTATATATGTATTTTCAAGAAAAGTAGAAAAACTCCCTTTCATATATTACTAAATTTGATGAATTCGATTGTTTAAAATCAAAATTTATGCTTATTAGTATTTCTTGACATAATAGAAATGGTATTTGTTTGCCACTTAGGAGGTGTTTGAATGTGTGTTTTGATAGTGATTATGCTAAGAATTAAATATACCCAAAATTACTTAAAGCTAGGGATAGTGTGGTGAATTTACAGTTTTACACTTATCTCAATACTACTTGATAATCCAAATCCTATTAATTTGATCCAACCCCTCATTTTTTGTTCTTCCATTTTCTCGAGTTTGTGGTTAGTTGGTCAGATATTCCTTAAATATTATTTATCCAGACAACAGTTTATACTAATAGCACTTGTGGGAATAAAAAAAACGTGGCAAAAGTTTTCCCTTGGATCACTAAGGGTGCGTTTGGTTGTGGAAAACTGTTTTCATTTTCTATGAAAATGTTTTCAGAAAATAGGGTTGAGTTTTCATTTTCAATTTTTAATAAAAACGCGTTTGGTTGGAACGGGTGGAGTTTTCATTTTCCATCTTAGAAATTTGGAAAACTTTGGAAAACCGTAAAAATCACTTTTCTAATTTACATACAATTTGGAAAACTGGAAATTTTCATTTTCTAGAAAAATTGTGGAAAACCGAATGAACCAAACGCATTTTCAAAATTTCCATTTTTCTTGGAAAATTTTCCTAGAAAACTAGAAAATTTTCCACAACCAAACGCACCCTAAATTTTATGAGAATTCCAGGTGCTGTTCAATGTTCACAATGCAAAGGTGTTGGTATTAACCCTGAAGATTTCTTTAACGGGCAATTTAAAGCTGGGGACTCATGTTGGCTTTGTGGGTACTAATTATTTTCCTTCCTCATTTTTTCATAATTGTTTTTTACTTATTTGATACATTGATAACTTCCTTACTTTTTTTTGAACATATACATAATCAATGTGCTCTCAAAAAATGTCCAACTTGTCACTTACTAAGTTTGGTGACACATTACTTATATTAGGAATACATGAAAACAATAAAAAATGTTGGGTGTTAATAAATTTTGGTTTTAATATTGATGTAATGATTATGACATGAATAAAATACATGAAAACAACCCAAACTGTCATGCATCGTACATGAACAAAATATGAATGACAAAACATAAATAGAATACATGTAAACAACCGTGAAACAAGTTACCAACCGACCCAAGTGAGATTTTTTGAAAAATAAAGTGACTTGGTATGTATCGAAAAAAGAAAAGTATCCTAGTGAGACAAATTGAAAAGCATGTTGTTATTTTATGACTTATTTGATGCTATTTTTCATGTCATTCATCTTGCAGAGGCAGGAAAGAAATGCTATGCGGAGGTTGTAATGGAGCCGGCTTTGTAGGCGGTTTCATGAGCGGATTTGATCATTAGATTCATCCGTAGGTATACAAAATGTTCCACCGTAACATAAATCATGTAAATAAGTCTTATATTTTATATTTATTCTTCGAATTTTATGCGTTTAAATCTTTAACGAGTACAAAGAGTTTAAAAACTATGTATGAACTCATTCATCTGACTTTGTAACAACTTAGTCTCCTCGGAATCGGGCCGGAAAACGTGAAAAACATGTTTTTCGTTTTTCGTCTCAATAAGTTCAACTTTCACGCCTTTTCCCTTCAAAAATTCGGCATACTCCACTCCCCGTTCCTTCAAGAAATCAAATTCTGCCACAAAAACAAGAACGTCGGGAAACCGATTCCATTCCGACATCGAGACCACCATCTTTTTAAGGTTGCACCCGTCATAGTCACGGTTCGAGCCCTTAGGCACGCTTAGGCTCCAAAACATATCGTTCGACTTCACATCGTCAACTGACTCAACTTTCGTCTCTAACTCGGTTCGCTTCTCGCTGCCGAAGTACGGGTGAATGGAGAGTATTCCAGAAACCCTAACCGGACACTGCGTATCCCGGATCGCTCTAATGGCTACTTGGTGAGCTATGTTTCCTCCGGCACTGTCTCCCGAGAGGAAAACCCTAGAAAGATCCACGTCTTGGAGCCAAGAATCAAAAGGTTTTTGTTTGGATAACCAAATGAGGGATGCGTAAGAGTCTTCGTATGCAATCGGGAGCCTGTTTTTTCCGGTGCGAGGCGGTAGTCGACGGAAAGAACGATAGATTTAGTGGTGGCGGAAAGGTCTCCTAGGAAGTGATGGTAGCCTAGCCATGTGGTGGAGCCGATTGCAAAACCGCCGCCGTGGAAGTATACAACGATTGGTAGTGATTGTGGCATGATGGCGGCGGTGGGGATGAAAAGTCTTGCAGTTATTGGTTTTGATGGATCTATGGTTACATCTTTGCACTTGTAGCCATCGTACAAGTCAAGAGAGGCCAAAGATGTTTCCGGTATGAAACGCTCAATGGTACCATCGGAGTAGGCTTTAATGAAATCGGAGGCTCCTATGATGGTGGGTTCCATGGTGGTGGTGGTGGTGGTGTTGAGGAAGTGAAGGGTTTTGATATAAATAGAGCGGTGGTTACAATTTATGTGGAAAGGAGGTTGGTTGATCATGTTAGTTGAGTTTTTTTTTTTAATCTATGATTATTTGTTTGTTACAAAATTTGGAATAAATATTTAAGAATAAAGAAGCTGATTTAATTTGAAAATAACACGAAGATTATGTTCGACCGAATTTTAAAGATTCATGTCAGTCGGTTTCTTTACTTGTGTAAATTAGAAATGAAAAGTGTTATTTCTGTTTAATCGAAAATGATCGGAAGGTTGTTCTTTTGGCTATAAAAACAAAAACAAAATAGTTTGAAGTTAATATTAATCTAAAATGTCAAAGTCTTGGAAATTACGTATAGATGATTGTATTGATAAAGTTGAACACCGTTGAATTTGTTGATAGATAAATATATTGGGTCGGTACCCCTTACTAACTCCAATTTATATCGTCGAATGAAAATATATTATATGGGATCCAACTCATAGTACGAAACATATATAAAAATAAGTGTGAAAACATAAACAAAATTTACGTTTAAATGTAAAGAAAAAAATTTGAATTTATACTGACACGTACTTGAAAATAATCAAGTAAGGTTTTTTAAAAGTTAATGAATGGAAGTTCAAATAATAAAGTACATATTATATTTAACTTCATTCATATGTAGGAAGTGTACATAAAAATAAACACGTAAAGTCAGAAACGTAAAAAATAAAAAAATAATAAATAATAAAAAAAAATTGCGTCGAAACATAAACAAACTCGAATTTATACCAACATGTAAATAACTTTTTTAAAAAATTGATGAGCGAAAGTTCTAAATTTACATTCAGACGTTGACTATCTCTAATTTATAGCGCACATATATAAAAATAATCACGCAAAAAATTAGTCTTTTTTAAGTCAAAACATAAAAGTTATTAGGAGTAGAATATTATATATATTACGGGGGTAAGCATGACAGTTTAGAAAGTCGATATTATCAAAATGATATTTTACAAAGTTCAAAGCCCAATGAGTCAACGTGACATTTTACAAAGTTGATGGGTGATAAGTGTCTTGTGACATTGTGGACTGTATGTAGGACATTAACGACTTCAATTTTGAGAAAAATGTTTCTACAAATGCAACGGTTACTACAATAATCACCAAGACTCTATATGCATTAGGAAAACAACCGACTTTTTCATATATTTTAAAACATTGATAGAGTGAGTAGTTTCATTTGGTAAAAACTCGTCAACCGTAAGAACTCGTCAACAATATTTAACTCTAGATAAAGTTTATTGGCATCAATACCTGATCGTTCATCGTACTTAAGTGTAGCTTGAAGATGACTACAACACAACTTAAGATATTTGTCATCAAACTCCTTCAATTTTTGCAAAAAAACCAAGATTTTTTTTCATAGTTATTGTATTGTTCAAATCTTGTTTTAAAAGAAGTAATCGCTTGAAAATGAAACAATTAAACACACAAGCCACAACAGAAGTCAATCAATTCTGAAATTGAGACACAATAGCTGAGCATTAAATTTCTCAAAAAATCGATTTTGAATTTTAAAATTAAAACAATCAATTAATCAATAATATGAATCGAATGCCAAATGTGATTATGAAATTGAGTGATCTTATTGATTTTGAAACTTACAATTTTGATTTCTAAATCGGATAGTGCATTGATGTAGTGTGTTCTGACTTAGATTGGTGAGAATCATAGGGTGAAGTGACTTTGGCCTGGTGACGATACATTTAAATAAATTTTGTTTTCAAACATGAATTATTAGTCTACTATAATGAGTCGTATGTAAAGATTAGACCTCCTCTACAA